ATCTGCCCCACCCACCAAGGAGGTGCCCTCTTCCCAGCCCCCTTGACAACCCCCCCTGCACCTGAATAGAGTGAGGGGGTGGGAATTCCACGTTTCTCCCCCCCTCGTCCTAACCCCCAGAGGAGTTGAATTGGGGGGGCCCAAGAAGACCCTGCCTCCTCGGCCACCAAGCCCCCTTGGCCTTGACAGCCCCCTCCCCACTGGTGAGCAGGCTGGGAGTGGGGGTCCCGCGTCCTGCCCACCCCCCTGGCAGGGGGTGAAAAGATACCAGCCAAGGCAACTTTGCTTTAAGACCCTCCCCCAGGGCAGGTGAGTGGGGCGGGAGTGGGGGGGGTCCTGCGGCCCCCCTCCACCCCTGAGCCTGGGGAGGGGGGCCAGAAGACACACCCACCCCACCGGCCAAGCCCCCTTTGCCTTCACCTCCCCCTGGAACAGGTGAGCAGGCTGGGGGTGGGGGTCCCGCATCCTGTCCCACCCAGCAGGGGAAGGGGGGCGTGAAGGGACACCCTAATCAGCCGCCCAGCCCCCTTCGCCTTCACCGCCCCCTCCCCCAGCAGGTGAACGGGCTGGGAATGGGGGTCCCGCCTCCTGTCCCATCAACCAGGCAAAGGGGGCAGACACCCCCTCTTCGCCCACCAAGCCCCCCTCCACTTGACTCCTCCCCCCCCAGCAGACGAGCAGGGTCGGTTCTGCCTGTTGCCCACTTGCCGGGGGGGGGGGACAAAAAGAAGAGACCCCTCTCCAGCGGCTGACCCCTTCGTCTTCACCTCTTGGGGGCAGGAGAGTGGGATAGGAGGGGGGGTCCCCCCTGTTGCCTCACTCCCCAGGCTGGGGGGGGGCCAAGAAGAGACCCCTCCCCTGCAACTAAGACCCTTTTCGTTTTCATTTGCCTCCCACCCACCCACCCCCCGGTGCAGGTGAGCGGAGTGGGAGTGGGGGTCGCAGGTCCTTGCCCCACCCACCCACCTACTCCCCCACCTACCAGGCGGGGGGGCAAGAAGACCCCCTCCCCAGCCGAGAAACCTCCTCCGCTTTCATTTCCCTCCCTCCCTCCGACCCCCCCCGTGCAGGTGAGCGGAGTGGGAGTGGGGGTCGCAGGTCCTTGCCCCACCCACCAGGCGGGGGGGGGGGGCTAGAAGAGACCCCTCCCCAGGAGCTAAGACCCCTTTCGCTTTCATTTGCCTCCCACCCACCCCCTGGTGCAGGTGAGCGGGATGGGAGTGGGGGTCGCGCCTCCTTGCCTCACTCTCCCACCCACCTACCAGGCGGGGGGGGGGGGCAAAAAGAAGAGACCCCTCCCCAGCGGCTGACCCCTTCGCCTTCACCTCTTGGGGGCAGGAGAGTGGGATAGGAGGGGGGGGCCCACCTGTTGCCCCACTCCCCAGGCTGGGGGGGGTCAAAAAGAGACCCCTCCCCAGCGGCTAAGACCCCTTTCGCTTTCATTTCCCTCCCACCCACTCACCCCCGGTGCAGGTGAGCATAGTGGGAGTGGGGGTCGCAGGTCTTTGCCCCACCCACCAGGCGGGGGGGGGGCAAAAAGAAGAGACCCCTCCCCAGCGGCTAAGACCCCTTTCGCTTTCATTTGCCTCCCTCCCACCCACCCCCGGTGCAGGTGAGCGGAGTGGGAGTGGGGGTCGCAGGTCCTTGCCCCACCCACCAGGCGGGGGGGGGAGGCAAGAAGAGACCCCTCCCCAACGGCTGACCCCTTCGCCTTCACCTCTTGGGGGCAGGAGAGTGGGATAGGAGGGGGGGGTCCCACCTGTTGCCCCACTCCCCAGGCTGGGGGGGGGTCGAAAAGAGCGGCTAAGACCCCTTTCGCTTTCATTTCCCTCCCACCCACTCACCCCCCGGTGCAGGTGAGCGGAGTGGGAGTGGGGGTCGCAGGTCTTTGCCCCACTCCCCAGGCTGGGGGGGGGGTCAAAAAGAGACCCCTCCCCAGCGGCTAAGACCCCTTTCGCTTTCATTTCCCTCCCACCCACCCACCCCCGGTGCAGGTGAGCGAGGTAGGAGTGGGGGTCGCGCCTCCTTGCCCCACCTACCCACCCACCCACCAGGCCGGGGGGGGGCAAGAAGGGACCCCTCCCCAGCCGCCCTTGCCCCACCCACCCACCCACCCCCCATGCGGGGGGGGGAAGCAGGGACCCCTCCCCACTCCAGGCAGCCCGCCCCCCCCTCCTC